ATGAAGTTTTTGTTCCTTTTGTCTTTCAGGCTTGAGCAATTTCTTGAACATGCTGAAGACATAGAAATAGTCATTCCACAGCTCTGGAATTACCTTGGAGAGCTCTTGGGTCCAACTGCCTTTGATGGAAATATTGACCTCAATGAATTATTTAAATGTATACTAAAATATGTGTCAAAACACAAGGCTGCAGAACTCTTTGCCTATATGCTGCAAACAGCCACAATTGATACGGTGAGTGGACTATAGATTGTGTTGTTATAAGAAGTTGAAGCCTGTGTTACCTCTTCAGTAGCTAACGTGTACTGCGTCTTACAGGCCATTACACTTTAGATTTGTTCAGTTATTTTAGTGTTAATCATATTCTTTATTTCTTGATCTAGAGTCGGGAAGATTTGTCGGCTATTTTAAATAGATACGATGTGTCATTATATGCCTTCTTTGAAAAAGAAGCAGAAGCCAAGCAATTTGCAAAGGATGAGGTACATAAAACAAAAACAAAAGTCTAATACTCCTAGACTATGCCTGGTGCATATAAGGATCATAACAGGTTTACATGAAAGACCTTTAAAGAAAATTCATTTGTTTTATTTTCAACCCTGACAGTTAATTCTTATGTTTGGTCACCGTTGGATGATGGTATTTTAATTTGTAATGTGTAACCCTTGTCAACTCTTACTACATAATTGAAACTTCGATTAAAAATCGTTTAGGTTTCACCAAGGAAATTAAGAGTTTTCTATTTCAAGTTAAGTTGAGCTGGAAAGATCCTTTCGGCTTTTCTGTAATTTTGCTGGCCAGCGTTTAACTGCCTTTGTAAATGACAGAGTGGGGAAAAAATTAGGAAAAATCTTGACATTAACAAAAAGACAACTATGATAGGTATTGTCCATTTAATAGTTAAGTTTACTACACGAGTTTTTCCTTCTTTTTTTTCCCATTCTTCCTTTAATGGTCAGTCTCCTTTTTTTCTTTAGAATATCGAGTTTGCCCTTGGTCAAGGCAAGTCATCTCTGAATACTGGTTCATCTAATCAACATTCTGCTAGAATACAAGCAGAACTTAGGACTCTTATATTGAAAAGAAAAGCAAGAAATGATGAAGTGTTTAACTGGATTGATGTAAGTAAAATTACTTTTGAATATTTATTGAACCATGGGAGTGGTTTGATGACATATGTTTTTTAGGTATGTTTGTTTGTTTGCTTGTGTTAAAAGTTGAGGGACCAACAAGGTTCAAGCTGCTATAATCAATAAGTGACATCAAGGAGCAAGTGAGATTTAAGAGTGTAAAAATTACATTGCTTAAGGTGGCTGAACACAGTTTTGCGGGCGGTCAGCGGTAACTCGCGTGACGGCGCCTGTATTAAATTAGACAAACAAACATGGCAGCGAAGAAAGCAAAGGTACAGAGAAGTCAATTTCTCAATATCTACTCATTAACACTTTGTGATATTTGGCAGAATTTTTACTTTTATTGTATTTTAAATAATGAGAACTTTAAAATGGATGTTGAACAGACGATTTTTTGACACATTTGATAATTACAATACAATTATATTTTCCGTCTGTTAAAATTTGGGCAAATAAGTTTCAAATGGTAATGATTAATTATAGTAAGCTGTGTGCAAGTTTATAGGAAAATCTAATGAGTGAATTTTATGTAAATTGAGCAAAAGTGAAATTTTAAGGTTGTATTCAATCGTTCATGTTGCCATGGAAACTACAAAAATGACAAATTTTGCCTGTCAATAAAAATCTTTCATCAGTATATTTTTCACTTGCCAAGTTTCAGCTTGTGAGCTGCAACCTCTCTCTTGCCATGATTTGCCAAATGACATATACTCACAAACTGCCAAAACTGTGTTCAGCCACCTTAAGAGCAACGACTGCCTTCATTGTTCTCCACATTTTATTGTCTGTTATCTTGGCTAATGGCAGAGATGCCAACCTGGTGTGGAGGCCTAAAATCTGGGAACTCTTTCTTTTGCGTTATTCCCAGATATCAACGACCAACCCCCACCTCTTATTTCTTGTGTTATTTTTCTCTGCAGAGAAATGTTTCCTCTGAAGATGCAAAGGCGCCTCCATTTATTAGGGCCTTGGTAACAGTTGTTTGTGAAGGGGCAATGGAGAGAGGTAATTTTATCGATAAACTACCCTTTCTTTGCATCCTGTTTCGCTACTCTTTATTATTTGTCACATCACGTTTTACTGGTCCCTTTTTCTTAACACGGGCTCCATATTCCTTGATGGTCCATTTTGTACTATGTAGGCTGGTTTTCAGTTGAGAATTTACCTTTTTTATTATAACACAAATTTTTCTCATGCCAAGCTCATGCTAGATTACAAGTTTACTGGTAACCCAGTAGTTGACATTGTCGTCCACAAACCAGTTCAGAAACAAGTACTATAAGTAAAAATACTAAGTAAGAAATAGAATCCAATCTGACCAGAGAGAGACAAACAAGTTGGCTGTTTACAGCTGTGGCCGAGGGGTTGAATTCAGAGCTACCTAGAACCAAATCTATCAAGTGATTAGGATGGGGATTAAACTCAGGACTTATAAGTCCAGCTCTCTAACCACTAGTTCACAGTGAACCCAGGGAGTAGCGGTTGTCCATGGCTACAGTGATGGGGGAATTTTTGTTAGATTTTTAAGTTCATGTAAAAGGAGTGCACATGCCCTCTCTGAATGGTTCGTATGCAGCGGTAAAACTGTCTCATGTAATGCAGTCGATAATATCTCATTTAACATTAAAGCAGTTATGTCACGCTATTTGCTATCCTTTTAAAAATGCTACTAACATGACTTGTCTTCGCGTCAATTGAATTCGAAACATAATGACCCAGTTCTTTTATGTGAGACTCTATTGAGACTATATGGATTAAAACCCAGTTTTTCAAATTTAAAGTCTATGCCTGCACAAATCACTATAAAACTATTATGCTTAGTGCTCTCTAATGAAACTTGTTATACATCTTGTTCTTAACTGTACAAGAGCATTTATAGTAACGGCGCTAAGCAATGACTTAAGCACAGCAGAATTGAACTAACACAGCAATGTCCTCGTGACGTATTCCCTTTTAGAGTTGTTCCATATTTGTTGTCCTTCTTTAACAGAAGATGGAGGCGTTTGCAAATGTAACATTAACATCCTGAAGAAGAGAAAACCTCTTCTTCAAAAATACATTGATGACAACGCTAGTCTGCAAATCCATGCTGTTTACGCAGTGCAGGCACTTTTCGTTCAGCTGGATCATCCTCCAAGTAAGAATAATTAATGGACTAAATTCTCGTTACTTCTACACACAGTTCTTATGAAAGTGGCGGGAAGTTATAGTTATGTCGAGAATCATAAATGTTGACTAGTAATTCAAGAGAAAATCTGGTTGCGAGTTAGAACAACTGGACCTTGATGTCAAGCAAGGTCAAGCGTACCCCCAAAGATTCCATCAACTAAGTGTTGTGAAAGTTGAATGTGTTAGTAGTTGTAGCCGGTTTCAGGCTCCAAGACTAACGGATTTGTTGGTTTTTTTTCTGTCGAATTTATAAGAGAACTCTTGACCATCCTCTTGACCGTGTTCATGGATGATGTACTCCTCCCTTGAAAACCGCATTTGTCAGACATCTAAAAATCTGAAAATAGTCACTAATGCGGCTGATTTTGTAGCCCAAATAAACGGGTCTTGTTGAAAGTAGATTTATCCAACCGATAAAGGAGCAGTGTTGGTTTATTCTACTCTTAAATGAAGCAATCAGGGTGCATCTGACTGAAACCTTGTTGTTCTTTAAAACAAACTAATTAACAGACAAAGTTAAAGATAGTTCGTCACATTGTCTCACATACACGTTGCACAACCCTGTAGGTCATCCTCTGTTATAAGCATCGTCGAGGTGGACTACAAAGACTCTAGGCTTGAAGCAGTTTGGCTTGGTTTGTGGTGTAAAGGACTTTCAGTCATATAAACGTTATTTTGTCAAAATTCATGTTAATTTGTCTCTCCTTTTCTGTATGCAGGTTTTGTCAAATCCTATTTTGATAGTTTATATGATGAAGAGATTATCACAGAAGATTCTTTCAAAGCCTGGGAAAACAGCTCCGACGAAGAACCCGGAAAAGGTGTGACTGTTACTGCCGCTTCCGAGTTTTTTCGCTGGCTCAAGAGTGCCCCAGAGGAGACTGGGGAAGAGAGCTAACGCAAATGCGGTGGTAATGAATTACGAACACACGCACACGTACAATAAAAACCTCCGAGGTGCAATTGAACGATACGAACATGAAACATTGGTTAATTATCGCTGGTGAATTCAGTTTAAAACAGAGAGGGACTGGAATCGAGACGCCAGAGTGCTTCTCCACGAAAGAGCTGAATAACGTCTGCGCATAAACAGAGACGGGAGAGGTCTGGGATCTAAACTAGTATCGTTTACAAAAGGATTTTCAAAACATCCTCACATTTTGGCGATTTTTAAGGTGGATTCTGAATGTTTAAGGTTCCCATTTAAAGTGAAGGTAGATTATTTCATACTTTATTCAATTCTCGTTTATAGTTTTGTAATTTTCCTTACAATTTTTTGCTATGAACAAAAGAAGACGCATGAACGAAGCGTCTCTGCTAAATTAGTATCGTTTGCAAGAGGATTTTCTAAACATCCTCACATTTTCGCGATTTTTAAGGTGAATTCTAAATATCCAAGGTTCCCATTTAAAGTAAGGGTAGATTATTTTATAGTTTATTCAATTCTCGTTGATAGTTTTGTAATTTTCCTTTTTTTTTTTGGCTTTGAACAAAAGAAGATGCTCGTTCGAAGTAGCGAAGTAGAACAGTTCCTTCATTCGAATGTTTACATGTTCAAGCGTAAACAGAAGTGAACGACGGCTTATCAACAGGTGATCAGCCGGGCATCTCATATTAGTTTTAGCATTAAAGGAACATTTTGATATTTATCTTTAGTTTTCCTTGAATGATCGACTATTAATTTCTGTTATTCCTCTTGCTTTGTTTCGCTAGGTTTCACTATAAGAACTGCAAGAACACAAAAAAAAATCACTGAGGTTTCTCTGCTTTCTTCCACTATCCAGCTATTGTAATCAGATTTACTAATAAAGTACATACTAGACTATAAATCTAGGCCACCAAAATTTCGTGCTGAATCTAAATACTGTAGTTTTTTCAGTCTTGCTCTGGTGCATGGAGCGTATGAAAAACCATCTTCTGCAGTTGCTCAGTCTCTGAACAAGAGCAAGCCTAACCTGCCATTTTTAACTGTCACCGACTCATTTGTGAAACTGAAGTGTGTCAACCCGTCTTAGTATGTTAGACCATCGCAGTAATTCAAGCTAGCTGTAATCCTTGAATTAGCTTCATTTTATTGCTTTACTTTTGACTATAAAGAAATTAATTCATGAAAAAGATGCAAATAGTTAACAATTGCGACTGCCAATGATCAACACCTAAGTTCTTTTTCAAGGTTTTTAACAGTATGAACATGTAGTGAGGCACTTGTGTTCTTGAGTTTGGCCTCCTGATATGCTCCTCTTTCACTAGCCAACTGATAATGTCTCTAAAAGTAAAACCTTTTTTATGTTTGTTAAAATTGTTTCCCAACTGTTGCCCAACTGATCAAGAATTATCTACTGTATTTATACACGGTTAACAAGAATAATAAATAATTACTGAACCAATGTAAGTGGGTCTTATCCGAGAAAAAAGTCTTCCAAATTCGGCTCAATGTAATATCCTTAAAATAATAAATTGAGTTCGAGTACATTTTACACATAGGGCTTAAAAGTAAAGTGGTAGTTTGGTATTTTTTCCTTTATAAGAACCATAATAATTATTTATTTGTTTCTTTTTTAAAAAAGAGCTTAAAAGCTCTTTTAATATTAAAAATAATTTAGCTAATGTACATCTCCCCTTGCCAAAGAGAGAAATTACTGTTAATCTCAAGTTACAAACTGTCTTCAAACTGACATTTAAATTAAAGAAGTAAGAACTAAAGGGGTAGCAATTTTACTATCAAGTGATGGCATGACCTGGAAGCTGTTAAATGAGATAAATGATTGATCAATAAGACCCTTTACCTAAGAGCCAAAGAAAAATCACATACATTGAAGAGAGTGCAATGTAGAGTCTTATCAGAGGTCGAAACCCTCTTCATTCTCTATTAAAAGGTAGCCTTAAATTATTATGGACCTTTGAAAGCTTGACCCATTCCATCTCAGCTCACAAGGGTTATTTTATTGCATTTACCAGTATACAACAATAGGTAAGTAAAGTGAAAAGAGAAAATAGGTAAGTAACACAATCGATGGCTGCTGGTAAAAAAGTATTAATGACTTGAAGTTTTCTCAACGTTTCATTACCAGGAGAAGCACAATCTGACTCTCAGTAAACTCTCTTTCTTCCTTTTCTATATTCTTTTTATTCTTTACTCTTTCTTAATTTTTCTCTTTGAAGTCTGGATCTTCATTCCTTGATTCTTCTGCTTCAGTCAAACCTGTTATAAATGGTAAACTTATAGTTAATACGAAAACTCACATGGAACTCAGTCAACTTGTGTTTTCTTTGCTCAAAACTTCACAAGCTTTGAACTTTAAAAGTGCAAAAAATTAAACAAATGAACAAGCTTAACTAAATTCTGCAGCTCGACCAGTACCTTTTTGTTCTAGGACAAGCCAGTACACAAACAAAATTAAGTGCTGAAGTTTAGTGTAAGAAAAGGCTTCTTTGATCGCACTAACATTTGTGTATGTTTAAAAGTTTTATAACTAAGCATAAATTCGTGTCTGATGGTAGCTGTGATGGCATCATTGCGCTCATTGCCCGCTTTCGTGCCACCAAGAAACGACCCACAAGAGTCTTCGCTCGGCTATATTACAAAGATTTGCTCTTCTTCAAACTCCAGCAATGCTCTTTTTCTCTCGGTCATCTTTCTGATAAAACTTACGATCGAAACAATGAAAAACCTCGCCGAGAGAGTCAAAAGCGTTTTCCTTGTTCACTGGTTTACTTAAAATTCCTTAACAAGACTTGCACTTCTAACGTATTCGCAGAATTTCTCCTTCGTGAGTTTATCAGATCATTTTCACGTCGCAAAGGTGCATCCCCCGTGCGGCTCAACATGCGGCAACGGTTGGTAAACAAGACGCTGTGGGAGCGTATATTTGGGCGTAGTCGTACTACTGGTATGATACTTTGAATATGCCTTATCGCAGCCAAAGAACTGTCATCATATCTTACCAGAGAAGACAAATCCGTTACTCCACTTGTTTGCTGAACCACACAACTTATACAGTATGTCCCAATCCACAACAAAAATAGTATCATTTCATGACAATGTTTGAAAATATGCACATCTTCAATGCAGACATGCTCGGAGCCAAATTGCAACATAGGACATAAGTGGTTACAGCCCGGAGAGTAAGGTTTACCTCAGCTCCACTGATACTGACACTTTGAGGAAGATTGACTGGCAGATCTGTTTTCACACCCATCACATTCTACAGTGTATTCCGGTTACTGACAAGGGCAAATAAAGTTCCTTAAGTCCAGTGTCCACAGGGATTAATAGAAGAGTGACACGTTGCATAAACTGCTATAGGGCAGCACTGTTTACAGGAACATTGGTAACTATTAACATTTAGTATACTACAATGTTCAACGTTAATATTGGTTGAGAAAAGATGAGGTTCAAAGGTGGCAATATGTGCACCTTTAAGTTCATTTAGTATATACTAAAACAGTGGATAGTGTTTTTTCGCGCGCTCTGATTGGCTACTCAATCAGTGAACCTCCTGGACTATTCACTGATTCACCTCCAGTTCCTCCGAGCGAGCGACGCCAAACTCGCATAAGTTGCAAGCAAAATGCCTTCCCGGTTTGCTGCCGTAACAAGCAAAGAAATTTCACAGCGAATCAAGCAAGCTGTTCCCGAAATACACGAAGGTGACGAAGTTCGGTTTGGAAGTTTTAACAGGTAAAGCTTTGTCTTTTTGGCTCGAATTCATCGATAAAACCAGGAAAAAGTTGCTTGTTTACAAATCCAAATTAAGCTTAAGTCTTGCGTTACTTTATTTGGTTGACTTGTTCATAAACAAGCTTAAAACTAAATTTAATAATCTTTTTTTACAGAATAATTTTAAATACATAAAGAATTCACAACTCCTTTTGAAGAAATTTCCCCGCAAGAGCTAAACAAATGCCTTCAAAAGTTTTATTTGTCGGCAAGAAAAAGCGACGGCCTCGGCCGTTCGGTCATTACTCGCCAAAATTGTAATCGTTGGGAGTGTAAAGTGTTAATGAGTCAAATGAGTCAATGAGTCATGAGTCAATGAGTCAATGAGTCAGATCTGAAAAAATAAAAGTTTCGGTAGAAACAATAAAATTAAGCATTACTTTCACTCTACTACCCTCATTAGGCCTGCACAAGGCCTATTTCTGACGTGAAATCTCGCCCTAGGCTGTTTGTTAGCACTTCCCAGTTCTGATGTGAGGAGCCTCATCCGGGCCAGCGCATATAACCCTTTAAGTTCCCAGAGTGACCAACACAAACAATAATATATAGATTTAGCCAGGGCTAAAAGCGAGGCTCCCATTAATAAATTTATAATTTAAATCAAACAATAAACTTGTATTCCACAATTCAGTTAGCTTTAGAGCACACTCATGTGACTTTTCAGGGAAAGGCTAAGTGATTTTAGACAAAAATAATTTGCAAACAACCCCAGAGTGAACCAAATCTTACATCGAGTTGATGGTCTCATATGTACACCCAAAAACTGGCAATCGTCTTCGATCACATTTTTTAAGAGCCATAATGGTTCTTGATCACCGTAGGTTAACAAGACGCTGTGTGAGCGTATATTTGGGCGTGGTCGTACTACCGGTATGATACTTTGAACATGCCTTATTGCAGCTAAAGAACTGTCATCATATCTTACCAGAGAAGACAAATCCTTTACTCCACTTGTTTGCTGAACCACACAGCTTATACAGTATGTCCCAAACCACAACAAAAATAGTGTCATTTCACGAAAATGTTTGAAAATATACACATCTTCAATACAGACATGCTTGGAGCCAAATTACAACATAGGACATTATTGGTTACAGCCCGGAGAATAAGGCTTACCTCAGCTTCACTGATACTGACAGATGAGTTTTCACACCCATCACTTTGTACAGTGTATTCCG